CTTCACCTGAAGTACAATAAAAAAAAAATCATCATAATATATAAGAAAAAAAAAATAATGCAGCACTTATCATCTTTGTATATAAACTTTTGTCTTGGAATAGACTCCTAGAGAGGAATTACCGGGTCAGAAGGGAGGAGGGAGTTTTTCTGTAAGGTGGAGCAAATGATAACATAAGGCCCCCAGCCCAGGGCCTGCCTGACACATCACCAGTTACTGTCGAGTCAGTTCCTACTCATGACAACCCCACATGTGTCAGAGAAGAACTGTGCTTCATAGGCTGTCAGTGATTGATTTTTCAGACGTGGATCACCAGGCATTTCTTCTGTGGTGCCTCTGGTTGGACTCAAGCCTCCAACCTTTCTGTTAGCAGCCGAGCACATTAACCATTTGTACCACCCAGGGACTCCTGCACAACACATAGAACAATGCTTAATAGGTGGTAGCTGTGATGATTGTTACCACAAATGTGTCGTATGATACAGACACTTATGGATTCCCACCCAGAGGATGAGAGTTGAGGGGTATTCTAAGAATCTGAAAGAGGTTCTAGTTTGGGGTGGACCATGAGGGGCTCTAAAGCCACATTATTTCCAAAAACACCAAAACCAAACTAAACCGCTTGTTGCTGAGTCCATTCCAACTCATAGCAACCCCATGTGTTACAGAGAATAGAACTGCTCCATAGCATTTTCTTGGCTTTTCATCTTTATGGAAGCAGTTTTCCAGGTCTTTCTTCCACAGAGCAGCTGGGTGGGTTCAAACCACCAACCTTTAGCAACCGATTGCAAAGCATTTATGCCATCCAGGCTCCATCCCAAAGATAGAAGGAGATGAACTGGCGTGAATTAAATGAACTGTCACACCACCACTTCTTTTTCTGGACACAATGCAGGCAGCTTGGGCACACTATCCCTGGTCTCTGGCCACTCCTGTCATCAGTGAGCTCACTGTAGGCTGAGCCCCTGCATACCCAGGACACTTCACGTGTAGTCAGATGGTGGGTGGCGCCCTGCTCCCCCGTCGCCACCCTCCCTGGCCGAGTGGGCTGTACAGGGAGGCCCCAAGGAGTCTCCCTGCATCCACGTGCTCAGTTTGGACATAGGTGATTACAGCCTCCTCCTGGGGGAGGCCTGCATTCGGGAAAGGGTTAAAGAGTTCACAACGGCCTTGCTTTGCTGAGATTTACAGAAGCCAGCAGAGAGGACAATTGGATCCCGGAGCCTGGCCTCCCTGTGCAGCATCGGCCAAATTGAATTCCCCTCTTCAACCGCCCACACACCCCTCCCTGCCTCTGTACTTGCTTTGAGGCAAGACCTCTGAGTGAGGTGCCTCTCAAGACGGTTTTTTGTGTCGTAAGCAGTTCAGTTTCAAAGTGGCTTCCTTTTTACAAACATCAGCCGGCTCAGCAGGTCCTGTCAGAAAACCCTCCCAAGACCCCAGTGGCTTCAAGCAGAGGACACAACCCGCTCCTCGCCTCGGGGCCCAGGCCAAGGCAGCATCTGCCCCTTCCCCCTCCTCTGAGAGGTGGCCAGATGGGACAGTTAGTGTCCAGCTGGGTGGCAGAAAGAGCATGGACTTTGGGTCCAAACAGACCTGGGTGGAACCTCTGCGTTGCCACTTAGCAGCTATGTGGCCACAGGCTGCAGGCGGAGTGGGGCGGAGACACTGACCTGTGGTTCTGGCCAGCGTGACGATTAGAGAGGAGACACACAGAGGGCCTAGCCATGCTGGGCACGGAGCAGACGCTTGATCAGGGTGCTGTGATCACCATTAAAGTCTCTAGGAGTGAGCTTGCCATTTGAAGAATGCATGCAGGGAGAGGGCAGAGAAGAACCAGCTGGAAAGTGGCATCCAGCGATGCTGCAAAGCACAGTGGTCCAGTATACTGAGGCCCAGATTCCTCACCTGTAAAGAGGGACAAATGCTGCTAGGGACTGGGGGAATATGGATTTGGGGGCCGGATGCCTGGATTTGCATGCTGCTCTGCACTTACTAGCTATGTGACCTTGGGCTAGTTTCTTAACTTCTCTGGGCCTCAGTTTCCCCATCTATAAAATGGGGACAATAATACTCCCTACTTCCCAGGATTGTTTTGAGAACTAAATGAGTTAATACATGCAAAGTGTGTCTATCCATGCCTGGCACACAGGAAGCATTCTCCAGGTGGCAGCTGCCATGAGGATGATGGAAGGCCCCCAGCAGTGTGTGCTTCTCCCATTTTCACGGAGGTGTGCCCAAGTCCCCGGACTCAGGGACCCATGTGAGGGTCCAAGGCTTTCCATGCCCTGATCCCTCCTGCCCTGCTACTCCCAGGCCTCGCATGCCCATGGCAGAAATCTCAGAGGAGGGGCCTGTCCACCCAAGGCAGCCCATTGGTAGTCTTTGTGCCACTCACCCTTACACTGAGATTTCTAATAGGAGGAGGCCAGGGAAGATTAGGGTTCAAGGCCTTGGAATAAACTGGCTTCTTGCCAGCATGAGCCATTACAGCCATGCAGTGCTGGTAAGCAGTAAGTGACACCTCATGCTCCGTGTCAGCTGCCAGCCTTGAAGCACTTAACAGACGTTAGTCCCCCCAACTTGTCAGCACCATCTGTGAGGTCCTTCGAGCTGGGGAGTTTGGCACAGGGCATGGAGTCTTGGGATATTGCCACCGGCGGGGCCCTTTGAAGGCAAGTCTGACCCTTCTGATTTAGAGATGGGGACACTGAGGCCCAGAGAGGGGAAGGGACTTGCCCGAGGTGACCTGGCACCTTGATTGTAGGTCTGGGACTTGAACTCCGGTGGCCCAAG